AAGGGCTGGTCTTGTCTGAGTTCTACAGATGAAGACTCTGGGGCTTAGGGAGGTTAAGTTACAAGCCCAAAACCAACAGCTAGCAAATGTCAAGTGAGATCTCAGATCTGGGACTTGAAACTTCACAGCCTGACTCCAGACTTCTGTGCTGCACTGTAGGGTGTTGCCCAGCAACCTTCGAGAACAAGAGAATAAGAGTGAAAGTTGGGAGTTCTTCTTGAGACCTTATTTGTTTATTTTCTAATGAACAGAGTAAGTAACAGCCAATATTTATAAAACATTTTGCATGGACTTATATGCACCCTCTGTATTTGTTGAATGAGTAAATGACTTACATGACTGGACCCAAGGGGACTGATCACTTCAGTAGACTCAGGAGGATGGAGCTTGTGTCTGAAATATGGTGAGAAAAGGGCCTGCTTTTCTCAAAGATGCAAAACCAAACTGAAAAGGTGTGCAAGAGTGTGTAGGGGAGCATGCGGAGAGAACATTAGCCATCTGCCAAGTAATGAGACCCCACGTAGCAAGGTACAAACCTGAGAGTAAAGCACAGGTGACAGGCAGGAGCAGTTATTTGGGTGGAAATGAAAGAACAAAGCTACAAAAGCAATTTGCTGTTGGGTTATGTGATGCATGACAAAGACAGGGTGGAGATGTGGGTGACACTCTTCAGATACAAACTGTACGTTTATCACAAAGGTGGTGTGGGACTCTCACTCTCCAAACATCTGCTGATAGTCTGTTTTAGTGAAAGCTGAACATTTGATAAATTATTGACTGGCTCTGGGGGTAATTTAATGTCTTGGAAGGTAGAGGAAACAGAACTACTATTCCTGGACTTCATATTGACCACTATGAATAATAAGTTAATATGAATTGGACAGGAATGTTAGGGAAAATGACCATACTCTCCTGGAGCTCACTTTGTTGAACAGAGAATGTTGGGCACTGACACATACACTAGACAATGAGGAAAATGATTTTAATTCAATTTAGTGCATTACATTTAGAACCCATTGAAAGAGGCCAGGAAGAATGCAAAGTCATAAAAAATAATGCAGACATGAAAATAGGGGATTGTTCCCATAAAGAAGAAATGAGTGAAGGCCTTCAAATGACCTTAACTAGGTAAAAATCCTGTTCTTATTAAACTCAGATTTTAAAAGGAATATGTCCAAACTATGAAATATGGCTATATTGTATAGGATAATTAAGAGAATATGAGTACTGTCTTGAATAGTGCCCCCCAAAAGATATATCCAAGTCCTAATCTCTGATACCTGCGAACGTGATCTTATTTGGAAATAAAGTATTTGCAGATGTAATTAATTTAAGGATCTTGAGATGAGATCATCCTTCATTTAGGGTGGAGACCAAATCCAATGACTGGTGTTCTGAGACAAAGGAGGAAGAAATTTGACACAGAAGCACACAAAGAATTGGGCCATGTGAATATGGAGGCAGGTATTGAAATAATGAGTCTGCAAGCCAGGGAATGCTAAAGATTTCAGGGAGCCCCAGAAACTGGGAGAGAGGCATGAAACAGATTCTCCCTGAGTCTCCAGAAGGAGCCATCCCTGCCAACACCTTGCAACACTTTTTGGATCCCAAATTGTGAGAGAATACATTTTGGTTGTTTTTAAAGCCATCCAGTTTGTGGCATTTCATTAGAACAGTCACAGAAGCCAATATAGTACATTAAACCCCTAAAAAGATTGGAGGTAGAGGTGGAACTCGAAGCTCTTGAAGATCTGTAAATGAAGCAAGCGGAGCTTTATAATAAAATTCGAAATGAAATACGAACAAGGAAAAGGACATTAAGCCTGCTACGCAGGAGGATGCTGTCATTTTCGCAAATGACCATAAGAGAACAAGTCAGCTCTGCTACCATAGAGAGAATATGAGGCTGAGCACCAGTCCACTCCCGATCACGACATTTGCCTGTTCATCACTGGACAGTGGAAGGAGTTGTGGGCCTGGGTATGTGGTGGGTGACAGCGTTGACTAACACTGAGGTTGCTTCATCACTCATCTGTCTGATGTTGGGAAGATAATTTTTAATTTATCGTTTTTTAACCTAAATAGATGGGGGGAGGCCTCATGCAATTTTTCTGTCTTTTTTCTACCTTTTAAGTGACTGTAACAATGGACAGCTCTTCAAGATTTTCCTTTCTATTAAAATTTGCTTGCTAAACAAGCTTGTGAAATCAATACACTGAGATTATTTTACAAGCCAAGGAAGGTGTCATTTCAAATTTTGATCAAATGGGTGTGGATAACATAGCCCTCATTTTAAGTAGATCATACTTTTTAGTGATTCTACCTCCCCTTGTTCACTTTGGAAAATCGAAGCCCCCTCTTCTTTAATTTTAGAGTAAGATTTGGTGTTCAAATGAAGTGGGTAAACATCCTTAATTCCCTTTGTGTTTCTGCAGATGCTTACAGTTCCACAGGGGGCAGTCCTTAGTTTCTAGGACCACCTGGAGGTATGGGCAGCTTTTTTTTTTTATCCCCAAAGATACCATACTCAAGAAAAAGAGATTGTCTAACTGGACAAAGCTCAACTGCCACACTTAAGAAAAAGAATCGCCTAAGTGGAAAATGACATCTTAACATGTTGAGACAGTGAGCTAGTGAAATGGATTTGTTGCTTCTTTCTTTTTATGGAAGGTTTTTTATGACGCCAACATAATTGAGGTCATTGACAAAGGCAAGAACCATGGATTTTTCAGTGTCATTATTGTATTTGCATCTTTGTGGATTAATTTAAGTGGCTTTTGCTGCTAGGAATTGAATCACAATAATTATTATCAAGTTTGAACAGGAACAAGAAAGAGCTCCATTTTCCAGGATTGTAAGGATAAAGTCTTCCTAAAATTACTTTGTGGTAAAAGGTTGATTTTGGTCATTTTTACTCTCCCAGGCTATGATGTGGTTTATTATCATTTACAAGTATTAGAGCATTTACCCTTGAGGTGGGTCCGAATCCCAATTGCCTCAGTGATGCGAAAGCAGGCAGCAGGGCAGGGGTAAGACAACAAGACAAGATAGCCTGACTGCCTGCTTGGCTAGGGGCACTTTGGTGGACTTTACCGCACAGCTCTGCAGGTGGATATCCTGGGGGCAGCCTGCTGTAGGGGGCGGCAGTGTGGAGGATGAGCGAGGTGCACTGGGGCCAATGCTGAGTTTCCTTGTCAGTGTACCTGATTTACGTGAATATTTCTAGCATTATTTTGCTCATTGTTTATTCTCAACTTGAGGACTGGATCTATCCTCATGCCTCCTGTCTGTGTAGTATGGAGGAATCTCTAGAATGGGAATACCACAGTGGGACTGCTGTGACTCAGAGTCCAGCAGGGAATGCTAGTGAGGGTGCTGGACTCTGAGTCAAGGAGATAGCCCCATCGATGGCAGTGTGAGTGCCTCTTGCCATCAACTATTTTCTGCCGATTTGTTCAGCCTTCCAAACAGGACTCTAGGTTGGGTACTATTTGTCCCCATTTAAGGAAAACTTCAGATCAGAGGCTTAGCCACTTAGTAGCTGGGTACTGTTAGGAAAGTGTTTAATTTCCAGGGGTTGCAGTTTCTACCTCTGTAGAATGGAGCATAGCAAGGAATCCTGTCTTGTAGAGCTGCTGTAAGATGACAGAAAATAAGGTAAGCATGGTGCCTGCACCACAGGAAGGACTTATTAGAAGCTTCGCCTCCTCCTTTTCTTCCTGACTATTAATATGCACATCATGTTGTCATTGTCTCCCTGGTCTTACTAGGACTTAATGGTTATTTCCCCTCCTAGAATAAAATATTGCTTAATGAGACATCATTTTGAAACAGAGTCTTCAGAGGTTAAAAAATAAAGAGTGGACTGTCACAGAGCATCCTCAGTGATACATCTTGCTTCAGCCAGTGCATGAGAAATCCCTGTTCATTCTTTCTTTTTCTTCATCTTTATTTCTTATCTATGAACAGAAGGTGAAGAGTTATTTGGGGGCCACGTGGTTAAGGAAAAGATATTTGCTAATGGAATCACAGAGCATAAAAGTAAATGATTGTCTGATATCTAGGGAATAACCTTTGTTTTATTCATCCATCCATCCAAGTTTTGGAGTTTATGCCACGTGCTGGTCAAATGGCACAGCAGAAGATCGACAAGGGATAGTTTTGCCCTCATAGAGCTCACATACCGTTGAACAGAAAAAGTGGAGAGATTTAGTTAGGTAATTACAATTTACTTATTTATTAATTTTTTTTTGTTTTGTTTTTTGTTTTTTTTTTTTTGAGTTGGAGTCTCACTCAGTCGCCCAGACTGGAGTGCAGTGGCCGCTTCCGGCCACCGCAGCCTCTACCTGCTGGGCTCCGGCGATCCTTCCGCCTCAGCCTTCCTAGTAGCCGGAATTACAGGCGCGTGCTACCACCCCCGGC